AGGGTTTGTACACCTCCAGAAGATGAGCCTGAATGCTGACAGCTGGTGCATGTGGGTCCTGCTCCACGGGCACCTCCATTCTAGCCCTAATCCTGTGACTTTGCATATAGGCCAGTTTCCTCACTTCTAAAGCAGGAACAGTGTTCAGCAGTTTTCTTAGTGTTCACATGGTGCCTCACACTTGGTAGGACTCATCATGAGCACAGCCTGCCTTGGCCCTCATCTTAGTCCTGTGTAGATGTCCTGACAGATGAGAACATGCAGGCACAGGTGAGCCACTTGCTCACAGCCACAGAGCAAGTAACAGGGACAGCTGGGCTTAAGCTGAAGTCTTTCAGCCCAGATTGGGCTGCCCCTCTGGCTGCTTGCCCCATGGATTTTATTGAACTGCTCATGCTCCTTTGAAGAGTCCAAACACATATCTGAAGAATGAGAAGGCAGATCAAGATGCAATTGGAATAAATACACAAAGATGGGGTAAATCCATATGGGGAGCTACAGACATCTGCAGAGGGAAGAGGAGCCGAGGGGGTCCTGGCCACCGAGGGTTCTGGGTGGAGCTGTTAATGTAGTGGGAGCCTCGTGAGCCAGTCCCATGGCTACTCCCCCACCCAGCTCGCCCCCTGCCCACTACAAAGTCTTTGGATGGACCCACACCTGCTCTCCTGTTTTCTGTCTGTGACGGAAACAACTGATTCAGTACAAACTCGCATCTGCTGCTGCTTTTTCAGCTATTTTGCATATTAATGTCCCGATTCTCTTACTAGAAGGTACAGTTTTTGTAGGGGCTGGATGGGGAGACTGGGGTGGCAATTCTTAAATATTTCTAAAACTCTTAATCATGTGATTGACTCACACAGTAAATTTGGTTTTGTTGCCTCAGAGTTTTAGATGAAATTGGCAGAAGCAGGCCTGTTATGTGCTCATGGCTATCTAGTTGTGTGCAAAGGCCTTACTGAGTTTATCATACATGCTTCTAATTGTTTTACTCTTGATTTGTTTTTATTGTTGAAAGAAATGTTTCGGTTTCCCAAAAAGTCTTTTATCTGTACAGATGCAAACAGTTCCCCTTCCAGAGCCCCTGTTTGTGGAATTTTTGTGGATTTTGCAACACCCTCGCACCATCAAAAGAGTCAGATTCAGGCCCTGAAGCAAAAATAGGTATATTGGGAAATTTGTGTAAAGCACAGTGGTGTGTTTTAATATGCTTTTCTTCAATGTAGTTTAAAAACCAGGGCTTTTCACTCATTTGTGACTGGCTGTTGAGATGCACAGGTGCCTTACCTTGCACTGTGTTCCTCTGGGCTAGGAAGCTGGGTGGGGGTTGTGGTCGAAACCGACGTGCACCTGGGAGGCGCAGCACACTCACCGCACCCAGAGCTGGTGGCCGGACCCACGCAGGCATCCCCGTGTGTCACTCTGCCAGGCTCAGCTCAGGCCACCCTCAGGTCACCCACAGCCAAGCGCTGCTGCATGATTCACAGACGAGGGCTGGGGAGGTCCAGTGGTGGCGAGCATTCCCGAGACTGTGCACTGTGTGTTCGCTCTGCCTGTGCCGGGCGCCTTGCCTCCCATGGGTCGCGGGCTGCCTGTGGTTCTTCTGTCCTGGTGTCTAGGTGAGGGAGGCGGGCTCAGGCCAGCCTCTGGGGAACAGTGGAGCTGATTTCCGAACCCAGGGCCCCCAGGCATCTGAGCTGATAATTAATCAGTCTAAATTTGGAAATGGAAAATTTTATAAATTTGTAAATCAGAGGACATGGTCTTAAGTCAAGGGTCCACCATATACATATTTAATCCAAGTACTATTTAGGAGTAAATATGAAATTAAACATTCATTTTTGAAGGTGGTTTAAAAAGCCATCATACCGTCTAGCTCACTACTTGGCATTTGTAAGTACTCAGCAAGTTTTGCCAAATGAACAAATAAATCATTAATAATAAGAATATGAGGTTTTATAGTGTTTTTATTATATTTTGGGCCTCCTCTTCCTGCCTATATGGCTATGTATTTTTTAACCTTATTCAAGTCTTAGAAACTACATACAGTTTACCTGGAAACAATCAGAATTTACACTGTGAGCTCCTCAAGTAGATGTAAATATGACATGAAACGATATTTTAAAAATTAAGAATAAGATAACCACCAAATTCCATGTAGAGTTTGGTAGGGGGTTCTGGGGAGTAAGGGGGCCCCTCATGGGCCTGGGCCATCTGGGGTTCCCTGTTTCCAGGCCTCGGTGCCTCGAATGGTTACTGTGTGAGGACCTGTGACATGGAGTTCCTGTATGAGTCACTTCAGGTCAGAAATCACATTGACGATGGAAGACTGGAGGCAGGGAGTGGGGAGGATGGTGATGGTGGGCAGAGAGTAAGACCACAGCGGGGAAGGTAGTGGGGAAGACTCCTAGGTGCAGAGAAGGAAGGAGTGGGCAAGCCAAGTAATGGGTCCCCCCAGGTACTGGGGGCCGTTTCTCCCCTCGTTTAGCCCATGTCAATTGAGAATTGACTATGTGGAAGTCATAGTAAGTGAAAGAAATAAAGCTCCCTGCCCTAGAGAGCTGTGTGGGACTGGGGGAGGGTCACGGGAAAAGCCAGATTGACCCCGGGGTGCCAGTATCAGGGCACCGATGGAGGCTATAACACAGCATGCAGGGAATCGCTTTCCCTGAGAATGGCACACACACAGCAACTCCGGTCTGTGTTAACCTCAGGAACACTGAATTAAGATAATTGTTTGGCTCATGTTTACTCACATCATTGGTCCATGTATGACCATATTATTTTATTTGATACCTCAGGCTCACCTGACAAAGGTAGGCCTTGGCAGTCACTGACATCTAGTCACAATGCACTATCCTCTCCCCAGATGTCCCTTTGTATTTGTTCAGTTTAACAGCTTCTTGTTTTCGATTTGCTTTGAAGGACGTGCAGTCTGAAACTGCTTCAGCTCATTGACTTAGACTTTTCTGTCACTTTCTCTCTCTTGGACTTGCTGCCAGTAAACAAATATGACATGTACATCAGAAACTTTGGGAAAAAGAATACCGAGCAGGTCAGTACGAGGTGTGCTGAGTAAGTGACAGAAATGCAAATGAAGTACAATAAGGCAAACTTGTGCAGCCTATCATCCTGTGCAGGAATCCTGGGGCTTGGGAGTGGCACAGAGGGTGTCACCTTGGGAAAGGGCCCCCTTCCTTACTGGTGCTTGTGAGCCCAGAGAGGCGACCCAGTGTCTGTAGGAACCCCGCCTGTCTGTTCCTCGTTGTCCATGGCCTGTGCTCCAGGTGAGTTGTTCCCTAGTGACTTACACTGAATTCACCTAGTCCAGAGTTGCTCTGATCCATCCCCCAGAATTTTGTGCTTCTCTGTGGTATTTCCAGTCACTGATTGTGTGGTGGTCCACCTTCCAATCAGGCTGTGAAGGTTTGAACTCAGAGGTCCTCCCTTACCTCCTCCTTATGCTCCCGATAGTGCCACCAACCAGCTTGCTCTCCGGGCACACTCGGTGGGAAGGTCACAGGATGAAAAAACTGATAGATGAACCCTTGTTTTGCAGCCGGCTCACTCTGACCTTGAGTAGATGGTGTAACTTCTTTGCTTGCTTCCTCATTTCAAAGCTATTAGTAACAAAACTCTTTACTGAAGCATCTTCCTTCTTGAAATAAAATTGCAATTGTTTTTGCAAAGCCAGAATGTTCAAGAGAATAGGATGAAGGTGGACAAGGTGGCAGGATTTTCAAACCAAAGCTAAATCGCTTGGTGTGCCACTTTTAAAGCACCTTGAAAATGTGAACTGTTTGTATGGACATCTGCGGCACAGGCCATGTTCCCGTGACTGTCACTCATGCCACAGCACATCCACTCAGCAGAGGCCTGAGGCTGCCGCTGCCAACTTTAAAGTCGAGATCATTTTCTTTTCCATGATGAGAGATGGCTCTGCTCTGGTGGTGTGACTCACTGCTAAGTCCAGCATACCTTTGTTTTCAAGGCGTATGTTCAGTGTAATGAAGATAACATTGAGAGAGACATTCAGATCGAAGAAGTTGAGGTGTGGGAGGTGTGGATCCAGCACCTGGGAGAAGGCGCTGCCATGTCTGGAGGTAAACAGCTCTGTGCTCTGGGCCGATGGGAGTGGAATGTCTGGTGGTTTCTGGGGTCACCTTTCTTGTTCTTCCTTAGATATTTCACTGGGGGTGGTTGTCAGCACATGGCATGGAGGAGCAAACCAGCTTCTGCGAGCTGCTGACTTGGGTGCTGCACTGGAGGCTCGGCTGGGCCCTGAGCAGGGTTCATGGCGCTTTTACCCTCGAAGTGAGGGGCACACCCATGTCCCGGTGGGCTAGCACAGATGGGCTGTGCTGCTCTGCTTCCACCCTGGGGGCAGGCTGTTCTGCTCAGTAGAGTTTTCATATTTAAGGACCAGATGTGTTTCATACCTAAGTGTCCAGACGTGTTCATGGTATAGGCATGAGGCCCACAGCACACGTGTTTGACACTGGGTCCCTGGAGCTGTATGAGTGATGGTGGGTGGTCTGCTCTGGAGGTATCTGTAGGCAGGGGTCCCTCACTCCCCTTCCTTGTGGAGGCTCACCCTGTGAGAATAACATACCTCATGTTCACATAACAATTGAATTGGCACCTCTAACAATATTGTCCTCAGTGTTTCAGGGAAATTCCGTGTAGAGACATTCTATAAAACAAGACTTAATTGTTTTTGAAAAAGTTACTAACAGATCTTAGGAATAAGTGTAAACTTCCCTGACTTTTCCTTCCAGGGCCCATTTGTAATGCCTCTTTGGACTCGAAGGTGTGTGAGGCAGACTCCTTTAGGGTCACATTGGTTTTCTAGGGGCTGAAGATGGCACCATCTCTGGCACTGGCTGCACCCAAGGTTGACACACCAAAGCTGTTCAGCTTCCTCCAGGTGGCCTGCCAGGTACACCACGCGCTCTGCGTCTCTGCAGTCATGAAGTCCTGTGTGTGGGTGACCCGCTGACGCATGTCACAGCAGCTGCCTGTGGGCTTGGGTCTGTGGCTTCATGCCAGCTGCACATGGGTCAAAATAAATGCAGACTGAAAAGCAGGTGTATTAAGTTGGCAAGGCATGTACATCTCCAGGGTATTTGATACCCATGTCTTTTAAACTAATTATAGAAATTTTCAAAATGCGTAAAGGAAACAGCAGGGTGCACCCATGTGCTTCAGCAGCTACTGACTCTCAACCAACCTGTCTCATCCGAGCCCCATACCCCCACCCCATCAGTTACTCAGAACAAGTTGTGGTCACCACACCATCCTCTCCATGGCTACCTCAGCCCTGCTGGTGTTTCTTAACATCACCAGGTTTCCTCAGCTGACTGTGTGTTTTTCATGTCGGCTCAGAATTTAAATAAAAAAGATGCAGTAAGTACAGTAAAAGTGGAATGAGCCTGTTTCTGTCTATTCTGGACACCCGGTGCTTACACCCTCTCTGTGCCACCTTAGAGAGTCTGTGCTTCACGAAATGTGATCACACCCTCATGTAATTTGGAGTCCAGTCAGCTTCTCTTTCAGCATAAGTTCAGGGGCACGAAGAGGAGAGGCTTTGGGTCAGGGTCGGGAAGAGGAGACCTGTGCGGTGGGAGTGGGGTGTGGACACAGAGTCAGGTTGGGGCTAACCTGGGCCTCACGGCTCTCTGCGAGCTTCTGCAGCCCCACCTCCACATCAGGACCCAGACAACAGCGCCCCGCCAAGTCTGCTCCTGCCCGTCAGCATCCTGCACATGCCTGTTAGAGCAGTTACAGAGACCCTACTCATCCTGGGTCCCCACAGTAGCCCCGTGAGGAAGACGGTATGGGGTGTGCACAATGTCATCTACACCCTTACTCGTCAGGATTGCTGGGTGGCAGCCGTTTTGCTCTTCCTCTGTATTTGCTAAGAAAATGCCTTCTGATGTACATGCCGGCTGATCCGCGGAGTTCCCACTGGTGGAGGTTTACCTGTATCTGCCTTTGTGCAAGAACAGTAAGAGTGCATTCTGTTATTTGTATGATGTCTTTGAGTTAAGCGGTTACTTTCAGACATGGGGAAGGTGAACAGGTAATTTGTGTGTGTTTTTTCTTGTAAAACTATGCTTGAGTGTGTTTATTAAGGACACGATTGTCTTTGAAAGGTGATTGCAGTTCTGCTGGGAGAAGACCATGTGGTGGCCGAGCCCTGCTGGAGCCCTAGAGCACAGGGCAGTGTGCTGCCTTTCAGCGACAGCTCCTTGCAGCTGGACACCAGCCTGCCATTCCTCCAGAGTAAGGAGCTGGCCCAATGTGTCTTGAATCCACCACTAGATGTTCATATGGGAAGTATGATCTTTAATATGACATCCCGTGTTAATGAGGCGGGTTTATTTAATGTGGAATGGAGATCCTACGTCTGTGGGGCTCTGAGGTGCAGGGTGAGGTTTTCTTAGTGTGTCTGTTAGAATCATGAACTCTCATGAGATAATGAGCAGAGGGTCACAGGAACTTAGGCGAATGGACCCTGAGGTTTTGTGTGTTCAAAATCCTTTTTTCAGGCCTATTCAGTTTCTTTATTTCTTGAAATAGGGAAATGTGAGTGTGGCTCTGAGAATGGCGTTCCTACCTTAGCCGCAGTGTGACAGGCTCGGCAATGCCCTGCAGCTCCTCCCTTAGACTTAACCCTGGTCACAGAACAGGACCTCTCACCCCAGGAAGCCCACAGCACCAAACAGAGGTGTAGCTACCGGTCACCATTTGTTAGTTTAAACAAACTGTTGGCAAACAAACTGTTTGCATGACCAAATTTAAATTTCTTAAGCTGGTCACCAATTTGCCTTTTAAAAAAGTAGCTGGTGAGGCAGTGGGTGCAGCTGGGGTCCCGTCTGTGGGGGGAGGCACACAGGTGAACCTGCCCTCTGCCAGCTGCTCCTGGGCCTGTGGAAGCCAGGGCACTGGTGCGACCTGGGATTTGCTCTGTCCTGCTCAGAGATTGTTAGATTCATGTATGTTCCTCTGCATTTGACAGTGACAAAAATGGTATCAACTTAAAAAAAACCTCATGTTCTTTGTATATTTGTTTTTAAAAAATAAGTTATCCTACTAGAAAAAAAGTCAACCATTGTATCTGTAGCATTCACAACATGGACGGTCACACTCCTACCGCCCTCCTCACACCAAGACATGGGGAGTAATAAAGTGCTTTTGTGGGAGCTGGTGTGTGCCCACAGCTGTGCAGGCTGCAGGGAGTGGGGGATGCCCCGCATGTGTGCTCTCTCAGGGCTCAGCTCTTGTGCAGCAGGTCTGAGTTCTGGAGGTGAAGAGTGGAGGTTTTCTTACTCGTTTTTATGTTCTAGGGAAATGAATTTGAGGTAATAGAAGGAAAATGGGGTTGGGATGACAGGTGTCTGAGAGTGACCAGCTCATCTCCCCTGTGGCCTGGGCTTGCCACACATACGCAGCTCTGTCTCAGGAGGACCATGCACCAGCCTTCATGGGCCTCCTCTGCACCATCACTGCTTCCAGGATGCACACAGCTGGCACGCCCCTGAGGTGGCTCCCTCGTGCTCCTTCATTCATTCATCTGATGATGACTCAGTGAGAGTCCACAGCATCCTAGGCACTGCTGGGATTCGGCTGTGGGCAGACAGACAGACAGACAAATTCTGCCCTCCTGGTGGGTCAAATTGGCTAAAAACTGCTGAACAAGCGTTCTAAAGAGAAAAACAAAGTGGGCAGTAGTTGCTGCCCCTGATGGAGAAAGCCTTGCTGCAGTAAGACCACTGGGACCGGAGGGGTCCTGGCTGGGTATGTAGGGGCAACTCCAGAGCACATTTGGGCAGCCTGGTCTGGCGGAGTGGCTAGTAGGTGAGGGAGAAGGCATGTTGTCCAGATTTGAAGGGTTGCTTTTCTGCAAAACCATGCAGCTGACTCAGACAGTGTTCAGGCAGAGCCATGGCCGTTTTCAAAACCCATACCTCGTGTGTGTGCAGCTGTGAAAAGACTATGTTTGTTGCTTCAATAAGCTGAGATTTACTTGAATGTTCTCAAGTGTGTTAATTTAACATGGATTAATTAACTGCAATGCAGAAATATCATTCTCCCTTTATTCCTAGATCGAGAAGTGTCTCTTCTGCATACCTCTCAGGTGCAGAGACAGAGAGTGGTGTCTGTCCATGGTCGGCCTGGGAAGTCCTTCAACCCTGCGCTGGACGGCAGATATGTGCTCTGCATGTGGGATATCTGGCAGCCTTCGGGGCCTCAGAAGGTCCTGATATTTGAGTCAAAGTTATGTCTCCAGGAGTCAGCCTTAGCGAGAGGAAGGGCATGCAGCACGAGGGCCAGTGCCGGGGCAGGCACCATGAGCCAAGAGGGGACAGTGACTCAGGAAAACAGGAACTTAGCAGGCGCACTCTCAGCTACGAGCAGGTGTGACAAGACACATGTGTGTGTCTGTTTCATCTCTACAAATTCTTAGCTCAAAGGACTCATTCAGACTGAGGAAATCCAGGGTCATTGCAGCCTCGTGGGTCTGTTGGGAACCAGTGTCATGTGACTTCAGGTCTCACAACAGCACAGGCCATTGGACGTGGCTGCGGGAATATGCCTTTTGGCTCATACCATGTGGGTCATGGACATTTTAGAGGCTTCTTAGTATGCTTGGGGGAGGGAATGATCTTTATTCATCTACGTGTTGATATTATTTTCTAAAATGGACAATTAAGCAGTGAAAAGTAATTCCAGGCAACTGTAATTAGATTTGGGTTCAATTTGTGTTGGGGGAGGAAGGCATTTATTTCTGGTTTCTCTTCTTTCAGGTTTACTGCCAGGGGGGAGGATAAAATTGGTACACAGTGCTGTGATCCAGATGAGTGGCAGGTGAGACTGTGCTTGAGCAGAAAGTCCCCATCCCACAGGATCTGTTCTCATGGAGGGAGGTGACATTGGGCCATTGCATGCACAGCAGATGCATGGTCGAAACTGCAAGAGGCGCTCCAGCTTCTTCACCTGTGCTTTTTGCTGGCTTATCTGCTTATTAGTTCAGTATTAATGGGTCCAATGCCATGTATAGATCTACATTTTTTTCTTTGATTAAAGTATTTTCTGTCTTATAAATTGGTGCTATTTTATTATTTTTCATCCAGTTTTAATACAACCTTGAAGTTGAACTTAGATGAGTTTCAGGAACCAGAAATGTTGATATGAAAGTATTACTCAGAAATTTAGATTTCTACTTTTATTCATATGACTTTATATATCATAAAAAATTCTTATTAAATGTACAAAAATAATTTATATGTTCCTTGGTAATTTATTTCCTGAAGATATCTTTTTTTGACAGTTACTGCAGTGAGGGGCAATCAACCTGTGATTTATCCCTGGAGTAACATTGGTTAATAGCCTGATTCCTCATCATCAGACAAAACTGTGGGTTGTATCAGTGAACTTGTATGTGCTTAGAAATTGTAAATCACCTTCAGTGGATTTAAATATAATTATGATGGGGAATCAGTCATGTTTAAAAACTCACACAGTAAGTACACTGCAGAGCCGGCCGGGCACAGGTGGTCTCTGGGCCAGTGGCAGATGCCTGACTCCCTCATTGGGTTTCCGTAAGAACTCTGTTCTTATCTCTGCTGTGGCCCTTACCACTTTATGACATGCATTGCATTTAATTTTTAACCAAAGATGTCCTGTAGTGTACTTGCCCTCTTGGAAGGAAGGTGTCTGATATAGCTAAAGTCAGGTTTTTCCCCAAAACCCCCAGCACTGCCTTCCCTAGACCCATGCGCGGTCATCCGGCCTTGCTGTGAGTGCTCTGTGTGCCAGGCTTTGTGGTACCAGGGTCTGCCATTCTTTCCCTTTTGGCTCTCGGTGAGGATGCAGACATGTGAAGACAGCAGTCACTGCAGGTGGGCTCCCTGGCATCAGAGGAATAAAGTTTGGTGGAAGTTCTGTACAAATAAAGTTTGTAAGGCGATCCCTTGGGATCAATGCTGGGAAAGGGGGAGTGGCCAGACCTGGATGAGGTGAGCTGTGAAGCTGGCCCCACAGCTGCTGCTGAGCCCCCGGGGCACTGAGCCGGGCAGCTTTTCAGAGTAGGCCTTGCCAGCCTTTCTGCCCTCTGTCCAGTCGGTCACTGGACATGAGTGTCCCTGGAGGTCTCGTGACCTTGAGTGAAGCACCCTGGAAGCTGGGACAAGCAGCTGTACCCCAGGTGCACCTCATCCACTGTGGTCATGGCATGGGTCTGAAGTTCTCTGTCGGGGCATGCTTGTGGCGTGTAGGGCTCAGAGGAGGGGCTGGCCAGGGTGGAACGGTGACTTCTGGGAGAAGCGGCAGCTGAGATGGGCCAGACGGTGTATGTCCCACCAGAGGTGGCAGGGCATGGAGATGTGAGGCCCACACAGGAAGTGGTGGGTCTGCCTTTGAGAAAGAGACTGTGCAGGTCCCTGACCAGACCCTGGGGTGTTTGCAGTGCTGAGGCGTTTGGACGATTCTCTGGAAGCGGTAGGGAGCCATTACAGGATTTTAAGGCGGTGTGTCTTACTTAGACCGTCAAGTTGGCAACAGTGTGAGGTTGCATGGGAAGGAGACCAGCTGGGCAGCTGTTATGGGGTCTATAAGGAAGATGAGTGCAGTCCTGGCCCTAGGTGTCTGGCTCAGCTACTGGGTATTATGCATGAGATGAACAAAATGGGGCATGGGGAGAGAGTGTGTGCTATGCATGGCCATGACCAGGAGGCAGTGGCTCTGTAGCAAGGATCTCCTGGGAGGCACGGATTTGGGAGTCCTCAAGCTGGTAGATGACATTCACATCCTAAATGTGGTATGCGAACTGTATGCAGAGAGTGGCCAGAGTCCTGACCTCTGAGGAGGGCAGAGTGGAAGAAGGAGCCACTGTGGGCCTTCTGTTCAGACACATCACTGTGCAATGTGAAAGCCTTCAGTACACTAAGTATGGCTTTTAGAAGGAACAGAGGAACATGCCAGAACAAGGATAGAACTTCATTTAGTGTGCAAACTTTCAAGTGCTGTGGGACTGGTCTGTCAAGTGGCTGTGTTGAACTCAAGCCCTGCAGCCTCACTGCTGCATCAGGCTTGTCTGGGACAGGGAGCAAGGATGAGACTCTGCCCAGGACTCCGGATTCACTGCCCTCTCAGGGAGAGAAACTCAGAAAGCTTACCCCCAGCCCAGCAGAGCCAGGAGCACAAGAGACTTGAAATCTGAGCTCTGGTGTGGGTGTGATCCACGAGCTGGTCCCAGGCCCGTGACCCCGGCTGGCCGCCTCAAAACACAGGGTGCCCACAGGAAGCAGCTCAGAAAGAAAACCACGAAATGCCTGGCGTGAGGAGACATCACTGTGAATCAGTAGGATTAGCACCCCAAGACCTTCAGATAATTGTACAATCCAAAGAACATTTCTAGAAATGGAGGTATTGTCTCAAACTTTAAAGTTAGTGGGTGATTAAGTAGCAGTTTAGACATAGCTGAAGAATTAGTGAATGGGAAGACAGAGCTTGAGAAATTATCAAGAGCTCAGTAATATAAAAAGAAACAGAAAATGGAGCCAGGACCTCAGAGGGAATGTGAAAGGCCTGTTATGATGTATCTCACGTGAAAAGTGATAAACATGTTAAGTGTCATTATCTTCATGGTTTTAAAACTGTCTGTTAATCTCTGCTATTTTTTTCAGCCTTTCCCATGAAGATGATGAGTTTTGGGGGACCACACAAACACTGAATGTTAAATTCCTGCCTTCAGATCCTAATCACTTTATTGTTGGTACAGATGTAGTGAGTGCCATGTCTTTTAAATATTTAAAATTTAAAAATTTAAAAATTAAAAATTAAAAATTTAAAAGATATTTTAAATTCTACTCTTTAACTCATTCTTTGAGTTGCCTGGCAAGTATCTTCACTAAAGGTTAACCTACTCTTTACTTTTATTATAATCTTGTTTAAATTGCATCAGGAATAATAGCTTTACCCAGCATCACACCTAACCTTTTCCTTAGTCACCTTTGCATCTCTTACCTCTAGGGCCTTGTAAGGCATGGCACCAGACAGGGTCCGAGAGTGTCTCCCAGACTGTTCATGTCCCAGCAGCATGGTATGAGACCAGTGAAGGTGAATGTGATTGACTTTTCGCCATTTGGAAAACCAGTATTCCTGGTAAGAAAGTCTGTTTTAAAGCACCAGTTCTATTGGGGCAGCACAACACCTGGTCATCTGCTGGAATTTTTAGCAGTTGGTCATCAGCAGTGTGTGTGGGACATGCCTGCACATCTCGCCCTTCTGAGGCCTACCTGTGTGGTCAGTACAGGCCCTTCACACAGCTATGGGATGGATCAGATGTTAGAACATTTTATTTTGGCATGATTTCAGGCTCATAGGAAAAGTACAGCAGTCCAGTTCTCTGTCTGCCCTCCATGCAGGCTCCCTACATGCCACATGTTTGCCACCTGGCTCCATCCTGTACCTCTGTGGGTGGGTTTACAGATCCATCTTGAACAGATTGGTGTCGGTGTCCTCAGAGCAGGACCACCCTCTGCAGCTGTGGTCTTGTCTCCCACAGGTCTGATGGGGGTGACGTCCTTTCTGAGCAGAGCCCTGTCCTGTCAGGAGCTCGTTCAACTGCTGTGCCTCCTCAGGACCCTCTGACCTTGGCGTCTCCCTCAGGCTCTCCCACCTCGGCACTGCTGACGGGCATAGGATGCACCTCTGAATGCATGTGCTGGTCTGCACGGCTAGATCTGGGTCTGTACCCTGGCCTGTGCCCACTGGTGCAGTGCTGTGGGTCCCGCTCTTGCCTTTCTCATGCAGGTCCCGTGGGGACAGATGGGCATGTTGGGATCCCTGCTGCTTGTGGAGCCACTGGCAGCTTTGCCCACCATTGGTGGTGGTGTCCAGCCCCTGCTGAGGCTCTGTGTGGAGCCAGCTGTTCCCTGGGCTCCTAGGCACACATGCCTGCCTTTATTATGTGAATGGGTATATGGCCTTTGACTCTTAGGTGGGTCCCAATCACTTATTCCACTGTTCACACTGTCCCGGGGGGTGTCCTCTGCCATCACTCACAAGCCCTTCTTTGCCATCTGGTACAGTAGGCCCTGGAGTCAGCCACTTCTCCAGGGAGTCCTGGCTCCTGGTGGGAGAAAAATACCTGGAAATCAAGCTCTGGGCAGTAGACATGGTTCCTATGTAGGCACTTTGATCTCTGCCTGTCAGGTGTCTCTGATCCAGGTGACTTGGGTCCCCTGCCTCCCCAGCTGGGAAACCCGCTCCAGGTGTCCTGGCGCACTTGACCTCATGTGCTCCATCCCGAGTACACAGACGACTCATGATTGTGCCTCATGCCTCTGCGGCTTTTGAGTATGTGAAGGATTAAATATATTGAGGAAAAAGGCATCAAGTGTCTCTTTCTGAGCTAAAAAGTTTTTCTTTGTGGAAATTTCAATCCAAGGAGGCAGTATTAACCACATTACTGGTACCCATGTATGTAATTTTTCTAAAAAGGTGGCTTGTTTACTTCCATGGAGCCTGTCTTAATGGCATATGATCACATCAGCAATATTCAAGTTTGTTAAAAATAAATATTGTTTATGTATTCACTGAATTCATTAATTATCAGCTATTTGGGGAAGGGGAGAGGTGCAAGTATATGGAATCTCCAAGAGGAGCACCTTTGAGTGGTGAGAGCAGAGGTAAGGCTCTCAGGAATTTCCCTGGCTGCTGAGATGAGGACGAAAGGAAAATGAGCCGGGATCGGCAGTCCCCTCCCTGCTTGGCCTGGTTGTCTAACACACCACATGCTTTCTACCTGCAGAGTTTTATTGACATCTCTTGGTGCTGCCCCTTCAAGTGTCTTGACTGTCATTTTGGGATTTGGGAAGCAGAAGAGAGGAACTCATACATTCCTGATTGGCTGTCCTCTGTGCTCAGACTCAGCTCACACGCAGATGCCTCCTCCCCATTCTGGGCCCTGCAGGTGGCTCCTCCTGTGGGACTGGGCATAAATCTCAGTTAATGGCAAGGCCTGTGCCTTTGTGAGCATGTCTTCTGTGGCTTCTGCATGTGTTCAGTAAGCAAGCAGATAAAGGGAAGGGGTGCAGTCGGAGGCCTCTGGGCACCGGAGCCAAACCCTACCATGATGTGAGGAGTCCAGAAGTGAGCACACATCTTTAACACCTATTGAGGTTTCATCATCAAAGCAGAAATTCGGCCTTTTTTGGTGAAAGTGGTTGACCCTTAATCAACAGCCAGCCGTCAGAAAGCGCTACCTTATCACCCACCCACTCACATTGCAATCAGAGGGCTCAGGGCCTCCATGAGACCCCCCTGCTGACTGCCTGGCTTTGAAAAAAGAACTTGAACTTGAAAAAGAGTCAGACCTCTCTGGTATCTCACTATGCTGATGGACAGTGACTGCAACTGGCGAGGTGAGGAGTTGATAATATGGGTGAATGTTGAAACCACAAGGTTGTTCATGTGCAACCTTCATAAGATTGTATATCAATGATACTTTAATCCAAAAAAAAAACCAGAGTCAGACCTTTGTACCCCTCTCTGTCCTCCCACCATGGGATCCAGGCTGCCTCCAGAAGGAGAGGCTCACTTGGGGAGAGCAGCTCCTTTCGGCAGAGAGCTGTGAGCTCAGCTGCTGGAGAAACAAACGCTCCATCTAGTGAACTCGAAGACAGACACATGCAATCACCCAGAAAGTCAGCATCTAGGTGTACGCCTTACAGAAATATGCCAGCACTGCCCCAAGGAACATGTGCTAGGGCGTGCACAGCGGCAGTGACAGTCAAAGCAAAAACAACCTAAAATGTTCATCAGTAGGACAACAGATAAATAAGTTGCGATACATTCCAAGGATACAATGCTTTACAGCAGTTGCAATGATTAGACTAAATTTACACACATCAATGTATATAGGTCTCAAACAAACAAAGTTAAGGGTTTTTTTAAAAGTAAATTTTAGGAAGAAACTATAGGGCCACTGTGGCAACATTTCTTCTGGATGGCTAAGGAAGAAGTGGTTTCCATTTAGAAATTTCTTCCCAGCATTTCTTTGAAAATTTATGTTTTTCCAATCCTGAGGATAATTCTGAATTCTGAGGCTAAAATCAGACAAGAAGTTGGGAAAATGGCAAAAACAATGAAAGTTCTTATTTGAGAATTAAAGTGTAACTTTTTAAAAATTAAAGTATCATTTATATACAATCTTATGAAGGTTTCACATGAGCAACATTGTGGTTTCAACATTTACCCATAATATCAAGTCCCCCCCGCCCCCATTACAGTCACTGTCCATCAGTGAAGTGAGATGCTATAGAGTCACTACTTGTGTTCTCTGGGCTATACTGCCTTCCCCAAGACCTACCTGTATTGTGAGTGCTAATTACAATGCCCCTTAATCCCCTCCTCCCTCTCTACCCATCACCCTCCCTAGCCCTTTCCCTTTGGTAACTGCTAGTCTCTTTTTGGGGTCTGTGGGTCTGCTGATGTTTTGTTCCTTCAGTTTTGTAAAGCGTAACATTCATTACCTAGGAGGCAAGATTGGTCATGAGTCCACTGACATCTTGAAAGCAAGAGCAGGAAGCAATGTGAAGCTGAGCCAGTGGATCAGGTTGACATTCTGGAAACTAGGACAAGAGCACTTATTAGAGATGCAGCTCCAACCTATTCAGTCTCACACAAATAGCTGTTGTGTATGTATGTGTGTTCATGGCCCATTTCCTGCTAACAGTGAATTATTTTTGCAGAAAAGGAAGTATTAGTAATTTCATTTGCATAGTGCACTATATACAAATGCTTTGAGTAGGGTTATAAAAACAGTAAGTTTGGAAGCAAAATATACCCTTAAACAGCAATTTTGACATGTGAGTGCAGTGCTGTTAACTTTGCTGGGAGATCTGAATGTTACATTATACAAATACCATATTTGTTCGGATTTTCCAGTGTTTGAATATTTGCTGTAGGTTACAGTTCTTTGTAAAACAGACAATATTTTCTTTGGATAAATAAGGAAATCAGCCTATGTTTCCTTGTTTTTATTGTAGCCACCATTTAAAAACATGTCAACAAATGTTACAAAAAATATATAGAAGCTTATGATTTTAGGAATTTCTGAGGATTGCTATTTCTCATTCCTGAATCCCAAAGATTAATATCTGTTGAGAATTTTGGAACACTCAAGAAGCTTTATCAGTTAGAGTGGGGACCCCTAGAATATGGAAAATGCACCAAGAAAGAAGCAGATGTGCTGGGCAGAGCCAGGAAATGGTAGTAACATCACGGGCGGCATGATTAAAGTCATGGTAACGTAAGGCCCTGATGGTCTTCATACAGATTAGACTGGGGGATCGTCAAAAGAAAACCAGATTCGTACTAGATGTTTGCCTGCAGGTATTCAGGAAAAAACTGTCCCCCGCACTGCTGGGGGAGTAAGAGGCAGAGCTGGACCAAATGGCACTGTTTGGGTTACCCAGGAAAACACTTGGGTGACAGAAGCTGGCATGAATGAGGAAGCGTCCCAGGGTTTGTGAGATACATGAAAGGACTGGATGAAAGGGCTTTCTCCTTCAGAGAGGAGCAGAGTGTCCTGAGAGGGCATGCTGGCTGTGAGGCTTGAAGGGGAGTGAGGTGGCTTGAAGTGCGGGGATGAACTCCGTCTGTCTGGCAGTGTGAGCGGTGAGGCCTTGTGCTGACCTTCCAGGGTCCGAGAGAGAGAGCTATGCCCGGCGGTCCTGCTGTAGAGCTGTGACAGACCCCTTCCAGGC